TAATAGAACAGTACTATAAAGAATACCATTATGTATTCTGTAGTTGTAGAATGGCATTGTAGATTATTGCATTTCACGATCTCGAATGCAGTTGACTAATACAATATGCGGGAATGAGATGCCTCCGCGTATACCACTCAATATTTATCACCATTGTATTATAAAAAAAAAACTATAACAAAATATAATTTTATTCATCAAAGAAAAACTGTCTTAAAATAAGATAAGAATAAAGATAAGAATAGAAATAATTTTTATTTAAATAAATTACTTTTTAAATATTTTTAATTATTTATTTTTATTAAATATATTAATACTGAGTAAGTTAGGTGTTGTTTTTTAAATTAATAATAACAATATCCTTGGAAAATCTACACAGCGCCATCTAGTCCCAATCTAAGCAAAGCTTGTGTTATGTGTACTAGATAACTGATAGATATATGTACTTAGATATATTTTAGTACAAATTCATACATAAATTACAATGAGAAAATCCAGATCAATACAAGCAATCATACTCATTGATACAAATATTTGAACCATACGGGAAATCGAATCCGCGATAATACTGAGTAATATACTTTATCAATTTAATTATAATTATATTCTTTATATTACATATTTTACGTTAATTAATATGAGATAACCAAGCAGTGTAGGGGAGATGGAGGTAAGATGGGGTAGTGGGTAAGACGGGGTACCCACCAAAATTTACAGTTCAAATTGATCAATCACGCTCTTTCAATCATTGTGCGACGCGTCACCATGAGACTTATCAGTTGCCGTGTGTTTAGTGGTTCACAAGTGCACAGTGTCGAAAAAAATGCAAAATAAGTGTTTTATTGCAAGTTGTTTATCACATTTTCTTCTGGCTTAACACGTGACTGTGGTTTGTTAAATAACGTTAGCTGGTGAGGTGTTGTTGTGATTGATGATAGTATTGTGTTCTTTAAATATTATTGACTGTTTTGTTTTTATTTATTTTGTTTATATAAAAGGGCTCTACAGGCAAGATGGGGTAACTGATGAGAATAATTCGGTTCTAGTTTGTTTTCCGAAAAATGAGTTCGTTTTTGTGAGTTTGTCTTTTTAGAATGATTCTACGACTAACGTCGTCGGTCGTGGTCCGAAGAATCCATGCGGGAAGCGAAGAGATCACGCGGCTTTGGATGAAAAAATGGGTTATAGAGAGAAAAGTTATGGCTTCCTAAGGAAATCCTCTCATGTTGCTAAAAAGCGTGGACACACAGCAATTATCACGTCTCCTACAATCATCGCCCACAAAAAAAAAACAGAGCTGAACAGAAAAACTGTAGAAAATAGAAACAAAAAAGAGAAAAGATGAATATAAAAAAAAACAAGAAAACTACTACAAAAGATCAAAATAAAAAATTAAAGAAGAATAGCCGATCACCGAAAACAGCAAAACAATGAAGAGTTTCAACATCTGAAGATGAAAGTGAAGATGGGGGAACACAATAGTTTGTTCCGTTTCCTGGATATTATGCTCATTTATCATGATGATGATGATAATTATAATTATATTCATCGTTTATATTGACATATTTTACGTGGGGCAAGACGGGGCAAAAACTTTTTTTTTAATATGTGAGTTCCTAATGACACCAAATATAAGAATAATAATAACTTTTGACATTGTGTAATTTTTTATATTAATAACATAAACATTAAGTTAAAATACAAAAAATGCATATAACCAATACTATTGCAAAACTATAAGAGTATAGGATTTTAGAAATTAGTAGTCTTCCTTTGACGTTACAGTATATCTTATTGTTATTAGATTAGATTATATCAATAGTCCTATGTACCATACCCTAACGCTGTACTTCAGTTTTTACTGTGTAGTAAATAACGTTGGATACAAACATATCCAATGAAATGTGGGCATGTCAAATGTTACTTATACTACAGATAACATATTACATACCTATACCATGACTTCAGTAATTGACTATATGTCAGACTACTATATCCGGGATAACAGCAGTGACGTTTATGTATGTGTGATATACTTGAAATTTGGTATATATAAACAAGTATTGCAAATATATCAGATTGTCCGCTCCAGAGCTTCTGAACGTGGACACAGATATGTATGTATACAAAGTGTATATCTCTATATATTTTAATTTTCTAACACAATTTATAAGTTTACTAACACAATATGGATTTAATCCGAATTAAATAAAATAAATATAAATTTTAATAAATAAATAATATACCTACATATCTGAAATAGACAAGTAACACTCATTCACTAATTACAGTAATGTTATAATATCTCAGAACAATTCACACAGAGCTAGTAGTGTAGTCCCAAGCTAAGAAGAGCTTGTGTTATAGGTATTAGACAATTGGTACATATACCAATATATATAAGATATATAAACAACCAGACCGATATAAACGAGCATAGTCATGAATACAAATATTCGTATCGTGCGAGGATTTGAACCCGTGATTATTGGAATTAAAGCGGTGTGCTAAACCGCTACGCCACCGAGACCATCTAATTGTTCAATAATTTAATTATTTTTTATCTAATTAGTTCCTGCCTATAGAAAACATTTAGCACAGCGTTTATTTATTATTTTAATGTTTCTCCGTAAGTTAAAAATTCCTAAAGAAAAATCCTACGACTTTCCTATGCAATTTTAATTTCCAAGCGACAATTTATAATGAAATCTTCCATTTAAATGTGTGCTTAATGTAGGTACACTTTATACAATTTCAGACTTAGTAACATTTGTATGGAATGAATTTAACATTTACGTAGTAACTACGTGAAAATGAGCCGCCGTTAATCCTTTAGAAGAAAGGAATATATTCAGAGCACAGATTTTGTCCTCGCACCCACTTATCCCGAGGAACTCGTTCTATTAATTAAATTTAATAACTCGTCCACAATTCGGGTACATAGTGGGCCCTCGTAATAAAATCATTAATTTTGTATACGACGTGACTTGTATTAATACGAAAAAGAAAGGAAACGTTAAGTTTTTTATGTAAATATAACACTAGTATTGTGTGTACTGTAACACTAATAGCTGTGTACTGTAGAACTGTAACTGTAGAAATATTAATGTATAAATATTAGATTTACAAAAAGAATTAAACTACGCCATACGAAGTAGTATTTATTTATTATATATATATATATATAGTATTTTAATTTTTATTTTTAAGTAAGTTTTTATTTTTATTATTTATCTTATATTCTCAAAGAAAGATATGATTCCCCGTCCTGTTCAACCGGGCATTTGAAATTGAGTGGTACAAACCACTAGCGCTGGCATCAGACTAAAGTCGTATACGTCAGGCAGGATTTGTTGGCCTTCAGCCATTCCATATACGCTAGAATATAATTAAAATTTAAGTATATTTCCTGTACTACTATATAGGATAGGTAAAAACGTACACGTAGCTCTATCTAGTCCTAAGCTACGCAGAGCTTGTCTTATGCGTAACAAACTGATAGAAATAGTTAAATACATTTTTTGTAAGTACATGCATTATATACATAGAAAATACCCAATTCAAATAATCATATTCATGAATACAAATGTTTTTCTAGTACGAGGAATCCGACCCATGACAGTCAAAAGTAATGAGATAAAGGCATAATATTATTAGAAACATTAATTGAGATCCTAAATCCTTAAGTATAAGAGAAGTTCTCCTAAAAGAAAATTAAATGTATTTTCTCAAGAGAGAGGAAAAGTAAACATAAATACTTTCATGAGAAATCAAATTACTTTGAGACAATTGTAAGAAGTTACTGAGAATAAGTTGCCTGCAATCTCCAAAACAGTTTAATCTGACTTCTACTGCAGATGCAGTCGGACTTTTCAAGTGTTTATTAGTTTAAAACTTTTTTAATAAGACTTTCAGAAGAGTTCTTCCAGAGGATATCTCTAGAGATTGTAGGTATGCAATACTGATGAGATACTGAGGTCTCTAACCTACACGAAATAAATAAGTCTTGTAGTACTAAATTACAATGGCTGTTTGTTTCATAAACGTATATAATAATTTTGCGTCAAGAACTTTGTCACATTTCGAGGTGTCACAGTGAACGCAACATAACTATGTATATTACTAAAGTTTGAGGCTTTAGATTCAAACTTAGAACTTTTGGGTTTTTTCTACATAGGTACATACATATTATTTATCATAATTCCAATAATAATTCTCTCGATTTATTATTGGAATTATGAAAAATAGTATGTACGAGAACACACAAGTCGAGAGTTAGTACGTGACTGCTGAGAATATTTTAAAGAATCAAACCACTCGTAATAAACATGCATTAACGTTTGCGTCATAACGTTCTTTTAAAAGTTTTTCATGACCATTAGATAGATAGAATAAAGTATTATTTGAATTATACAATTAATGTTACATACATGATTTATTTCGAGTTATACTTTGTAGAAAACCGTCTTCGGGTATTTCAGTCTCACCTAGTTCAGCAGCCAAACAGTGTGTTTTGTAAGCTATTTTGTAGAATGCTGTGAAAATTCAGCCATGACATCTAAATTATATCTCTCATTTTGTAATGTTACTCTCAATGTAATATACTGGGCAATAGCAACGCATAAGTATTACATAATTATTCTCTGCACCACCTATGATTGACTGGTAGAAAATGCCGCATGGTGTTAAGTCAGCCAAATGTACTGTACTATATATTATATTGTGTGCATTAAAGTTAAATATAATAAAAAAATAAGTATCCAGAAAATGTGATATTCTTGATACTGTTCACAGAAGATGATTACCACTTACCACTAGATGAGCCCTCGACTTATATGCCTGTCCAACTATATAAAAATAATAATTACTTGAGAATTTTCGTTTTCTAAATGTTTTTAAAAACTTATGAATGTTGTATTTAGTAAACTTTCTTATAGGTCTATTTTTAATTTAGACCATTTTCTGATTATATTAACCGTTTGTTTTTATAATTGTTACAGATGCTGGATCCCAGCGGGAATTTTACATTCAATATATCTGCAAAATGGCTAATAGAAACGTCTAAAGGTATCCAACAACCCAACGTACTTCTCGAGAAGTTCTCCCAGAACAGAAAAGTTGATGACCCCACTAGATCACTCCTGCTTACGTTTTATGGCATTCTGGTACTTATAGGAGCTGCGGGAAATGCTCTTGTTGTTCTATCTGTAAGTATTTATGTAACTTTAGTATATACAAAGTATTTATTTATGTAGAGACAAATGCAGATTCTAGAATGTACCATTTATTTTTATATAGGTGATACCTATGTTAATAAATAGCTATCTGCGAGTGAAAGTTACCTTAAACTCGGTCTAATTCTTTTAGGGATTAGCAAGAATAAATAGAAAATATTTTCATGTGCGTTTAGTATACGCCGTTCATTGAAAATTACAAACTGACCCTTTAATTTTATTTATGTAGTATAGTATAGATGAAGGGATTGGATAATAAAATTACAGAGTACAGCGGTATGACATCTTAGTCCTCTCGAATGGCAACGAATGGCGTGATGGCTATGATATATGATGATATTCATATATATAAGCCACGGTCTTCCTAATTATTGGTTCTCAGACACACAGATGTTCTCACTCGCCATTCACAGCTTAATGGCCACATGACTCCAGCAGCGTGCACTAGAGATGCCATAATCCTTCTTTCCCACATATACTACACCAACTATACCAATACAGTTTCTATCATAATTTTTTCTCTTTGCAAAATAAAGAGATATTATTATAATAATTGATTAATTCGTGTATCTTGTTGCAGGTAGTAAGAAAGCCTTTAATGAGAACAGCAAGGAATATGTTCATTGTCAACCTCGCTGTCTCAGATGCATTGGTTTGTTGTGTTGTTACACCACTCACACTTATGGAACTTTTGACCAAACATTGGCCGTTGCCAGATTGGTTAGTTTTATGCAAGGCTTGCGGAGCTATACAAGCAATATCTATATTTGTCTCAACTATATCTATAACAGCCATTGCATTGGATAGATATCAGGTAATAATTTTAATTAACATTCAAATTACAATTGTAAAATAACTACACCAAGGTTCACTTTGTGTAAAGGCGTATTTGTATCTCCGTCTAACTTTCTCTACTGCCCGTTTCAATAGACAAGCATATAAACTCTATTTTGGTTGAAGGGTGTGATTATAAAGTGAAATTATAGGGTTCCTTTAGATACTTTCTACTCTATAGGGCGTGGTACCACAGGCCTCTCATGACGAAAAAATGTCGGTAGTTCTATCTATGTATATAGACAATTTACAATCAGATGGACCTCTAGTTTGTTTACAATTTTAATTACATAAGAAAACCTTAAATACAATACTTATTACGCAAATATGAATAATATACGAGTAAATAACCTACAACGTCATATTTTTGTCTGCACCACAAATATTGTGATTTGCTGAATACTCTGTAGAATTAATCATGTAGCAATACCTTTATATTTTCACCTGTTATCTGAAGGAGGTACCATAAATCCTCGACAGCTGCCCGGATCTTGTTAACAACTCAGTCTAAATAAACACTGTTTACTCACACTATTAAAGTCTCAATATCTCCTAAATTAGATTTGTTCGTACATCTGTTCTCGTTCACGTCATGCGGTAAACAAATACAGTGTGTTCGAAATGTAATTGAATTTCAAAACTAATAATTCAGTTAGCAAATTGTATTTTGTATTAAATTTGCCCGTTGTTGTGATATACATAGTTTCATAGTATAGCGTCTGACCTTTCCACTGTTATTATATTTAGCGTATTTTTTTTATAAATGGCATAGTAATCAGGTGGGTCAGCTACCCACTTGATAATAATGTGGATTGATGATCTTATTCAGTCAGGTTGACCTCCACGCGGTTCCCCCTGGATACCATCGTGATAAATTCTTGGTGAGGGGAGAAATGGGTTTGTTAGTAATGTGGACTAATGAACCCATTACTAGCAATGCAACATGTCAGGTTGACCACCACGCGGTTCCACCTGGAAATCATCGTGATAAATTCTTGGTGAATTTGTCACGATGGTTTAACTGACCTGACCTCATCTTATCATCCTCCACTGGTGCCCCGCCAGCGTAAACCGTTAGCGCAGGCGGGAGCACCATTCCATTATCATCCACAAAAAAAAAAATTCTTGGTGAATTTTTCGCGATGGGCTAACTGACCTGACCTGACCTCATGCTCATCTTATCATCCTCCACTGGTGCCCCGCCGCCAGTGTAAACCGTTAGCGCAGGCGTGTGCACCATTCCATTATCATCCATAAAAAAAACGGTCGCACATAGATGGAAATGGATCGTTTAATATGGACTAATAACCCCATTGCTAATGTATCATGTCGAAAGATAGATATTTAACACTCTGTACACATACGTCTAGTCCTAAGTTAATGGATCCTGTGTTATGGGTACTAGCCAACTGATATAAATACCTACATACGTACATTTTTTTTATAAATACATACATAATGTACATTGAAAACAGCTACACCGATACAGACAATCATACTAATGAATACAAATGTCTGTACGTGCGAGAAATCGACACCGCGACCATCGAAAAATAAAGCGGTGTAATAAACCGCTAAACCAACGAGTCTGTCATATTTATTGTGTTCTTATAATATTTAAGTCTCCGTTTTCAACAGTTAAAGTAGTAAGATTACAATTTTTTATATTTCATGAAGTTTCACGTTGGAGTGTACCCACTCCAACGTTATTCCTAAGGTTTCAGGTTAATATAACTTTGTTTAATAACATTCAATGGTTAGTTTATTTATAATCAAAGGTTTATATGTACAAATAGCTTTTACAGTATATTATATACAGTTACTGAGAAACAATTTCAGTTCATTGCACTCCAGCTTTACTTTGATCCCATGGATAATTGAATATACAGAAAAAAAATTGTCATCTGATTTAAAAAACAGGAAGGGTTATAACTCAATTGGATTTAGGTTTTTTTTTATTTGTATAATTAATTTCTTCCAATGTTATTTTAATATACATATATAATCGTTTTGTAGATAGGTTTGTCACCTAACTTCTCCTTATGGACGGATCAATTGGGCTGAAAATTTATGTGTACATTTTCATATGTTGCTGGATAGTTTGAAAATAGCAATTGTTGAATAAGTCTGTTCGGCTACAAATTACTGTAATTTTACATATAAAAATTACAATAAGATATATAATTTTGGATTAAAATCTAATTGTAAGCTGTAATTACGTTCATTGTAAGGGTATTGTATTGTGTTACTAATATTATAAACGCGATAGTTTTGTGAAAATTAATGGATACATGGATATATGTTATTATTTGACTTAAAACTACTAGAAGGATTTCAATGAACTTCTTAACGACATTCTTCACGGTACCGCACTTTTGTATTCATGAGTATGCTTGTTTGTATTGGTCTGGGTGTTTTCTTAGTATGTTATGTATGTATTGACAAAAACTGTATCTAAGTATTTACATCAGTTGCATAGTATCCATAACACAAGTTCTGTTTAGGACTGCTTGGGACTAGATGGCGTTGTTTGTATTATCTAGGGATATTTTTAATATTATTATTGTTAATATATTATTATTATCCAGGTTATCCGTGAGAGATTGCTTTGAGCGATAAGACTGCCTTTCTTGCATATATTTATATTAAGTTTATTTTGTAAATATTATATATATTTTTTATGTATTATAAATAGTATTATTATTATTAAATAACATATAAATGAAGTATACAGATATACTATGTACATAGATTGATGCGTAAAATGTATCTAATTCATATAAGATTCTTTTTCACGAGATCACGCGTAAACCATTCCTGTATAAATAAATGTAGTGTGGTAATAAATAAATAAGAAAATTTAATTTTCTTGCTCGTCCCATTCTATTACAGCCGTTTTCTGAGAATATATTTAACTAATTGATTGATTAATTGAAAGCCCCTACTGAAATTCGCGGAGCATTCCGCGTAACAGGAAATTGCTAACTCAACAATAACGATGAGTGCTCTAAACATGTCATGTACGAGCTATATTGCAATCCCGTATGTTTTATAGTATGTTTGTTATCGTCTTTATTAAGTGGTGTTATCAATTTTAGTGGTTGAGCCTTTGGTTCATTACTCCGGAGTTTTTATAGATAAACTGATATATAATAGAATACATAGAAAATCAATATGTACGATTTATTTTTTTATAACGTGTTTAGCAAAAAAGTAGTCGGTCCTTCTGTTAGTAAGAATCATCGCCTATAAACATAAGAATACTGCCAGGGATATCACGTCTTCATTTGAGAACCGCGATACTCCTCATGCTACTACCTCATGACACTCTTCAGAGAACTAAGAAAATATGCCTCATACGATTATATACTGTTATATATATATACAACTCATTGATACTAATTGACTGACTCGGTTCTCTAGCGATACAGTACATTGCCTTACTTTCAGTAGTCACGGGTTCTATTCCTTGTATGGTACACCATTTATATTCATGAGTTTGTTGTTATTGGTCTGAGTATTTTCTCTATGTAATATGAATGTATTTACAAACAAAAGTATTTATGTATGAGTTGTCTAGTACACATAACACAAGCTCTGCATAGCTTTGAACTGGATTGCGTATATATAAATTGTCCTGTGATTATATTATTATTATACGCAGTAATTTCACTGTCATATCTCACTCTCCAACTATAACATAGCTTACAGAGAAATCTGTCTGAAACCGGTATCTACGCAGAGGATATGGTGATATGATATGTAATCTGCCTCTGGTAACATTTTAAAATAATCGTATAATTTATATTTCTATTATGAAATGAGAGAGAGTGAGTAGATTTTGTTGTGAGGAAAGGAAAATCAGAAACTACTATTCATTGGAGAAATACTTGTCGCACTTGAAATACATTATTCCAAAGCGACGTAGTTATATATATATTATGAGAATACAAGTAAACAAAATTCATAAAATTATGAGTACCTGAGCAAAGTCGGGGCGAACCATTCACATACCTTTCAATTCACTGCAAATAAAGACGAATGGCAGAGAGAAACATTCAGCCGACCCTAAATGATCAATGGGATTAGGTCAGGAAGATGATGTATCATCACATAAATATAGCCTTCTATGAATCTTAATGTGGCAATAAGTCTTCTGTTGATTATGAATTTCCATAGAATAGACGATAAGAGAAGATAGACAGCTTTATATCAAAAAGGCAGCTACATTTAAATACATTACTTCAAAACTGTAGTACTTTGCTATATTGTCAATCATTTCCACAGCGAAAAAATGAATTTCTAGTTTTTTTTACACACCACGCTACATCGAAGCTTTCTTACCGATTCTTAACATATTTAAAAATTCAGCTTTAAATATAGTATGAAATAAGACTCTAATGACTCTTAAACAAATCATTGATTAAAACTCTGAAACAATATCATTAATTATTGTAAAACTGGCCAGTGGTTTTGGAGCATATTATATATGTAAACAAACTACATTGTCACATCTTTTATTTTTATATTATTTATTAGTATATATGCAATGGATTTTAAATAAATACGTACCAGGATACTGTTAAGCTGACTGGCCGCAGCACAACCTCACACACACAACTCACCGTAGCGACCAAACAATTGCTAGCTAAGACGCACGCAAGTGATTGAAAGGTCCCCTTAATTCGGTTATTCATTCTGACCGAACAGAAATGCGCTAGACGCGGCAATTAGAACTGATTTTAACGTGTTTTGATGTAACAGGAGACTGCGATAAAAACCGAGAGACAAAATATAATGCATTAAAAAAAATATATGGTTCGCATTTAAGATAAAATTAGACATAAAAGATAAAATTAGATATTATACATTCCTATTTTAGTGCAGATATTACGTACACACTCAAAATAAAGTTACTGTGCAGCTTATAAACTTTTATTACATCCGAGAGACATGTCAGGATACTGAGAGGAACATTAAATTATAATTTTTGAAAGATATATATGTAGGAGTGAGCTACTTTTTAGTGTCATAATAGAAATCATTTAGTTACATATTCGATCGTAATTCAATATAATTTGCCTACAAAAACTGTACAAAATAAGGTGAGCCGCGGAAAATTCCCTTGCAACTAGAACCACCCATATATTACCTATAAGTTACGTAACGTACCACGTAAGCTTAGAGTGCTGATTAGAATATATTCCTTTTTCATCTTATATCTAGTCATCGCTATATACTACATTAAATGACATCTATGTTTAAAAAATAAATTTAAGCAGTTTAAAACTAAATATCTAGTAAACTGAATGCTAATCAGTTAATTGATTTAAATTTTACTTAGATGAACTGAGAGCTTACTAAAAGGAGCTGAGAAGAAATTAATAATTGCCTTTTCAACATTTTACGTATACTTTGTACAATATTTAAGATTAAAATATCAATTTCTGAAAAGGATTAATGAATGTTCATTATAACATTAATATTAATTGATATTATTTTTGTTTACAGCTTATCGTCTATCCAACTCGTCCCGGTCTACAAACAATGGGAGCTTTAGTCACCATGTTCTTCATCTGGCTAACAGCGTTTACACTTGCATCACCCCTCTTCATCTTTAGGACTCTAAAAACTCACAAGCTAGGTATCATAGGAATAGATTCCATAAGTTTCTGTATAGAAGACTGGCCGATAGAGAACGGGAGAGCTATCTACTCTGTATTTAGTTTGATTTTCCAATATCTACTCCCTGTCTTAGTTGTAATTATGGCACATGTACAAATTCACCGGAGGCTACGTGGGAGACGACGGACCACTAGAAAAACTCCGGCTATTTTAATAGCAATAGCTGTCACATACGTGATTAGTTGGTTGCCACTGAACGTGTTTAATTTAGTAGCAGATTTCAGTCCAGAACCAATTTTGGATGAGAAACCAATGACAATAACGTACGCTATTTGTCATATGTTCGGCATGTCCAGTGCCGTATCTAATCCGTTGCTATATGGATGGTTGAACGATAATTTTAGAAAGGAATTCGAGGAGATACTGTGTTGCTGCCGTAAGAAGGGTGAGATTAAAAAGAGTACGAGGACCAAGAGCAGGAAGTTAGAAACGGAGTTAACAGCATTGCAGTTGGAACACACAGTGACCGCAAACACAAAGACATCTCAATGCTCCCAGATTTTCTGACTAAAGACTTGCTTTAAATAGCATGAAAGTAGCAGTGTTGAAATGCAAAATATCTGAACTAAGTGTCAATTGGAAGTGACTAATGAATTTGTTATTACGGTGTAAAAAGTTCCTTTGTTAATTTATCATGTTGATGATGTAAAAATAATTTAGAATAATTATAAATAAGATTGTAGCTACGGTTATGTATATTGATAGGTTAACATTGTACTGTACGTTTTCGAGCCCAAAACGTATAGTACGAATATTTTATAGAAATTAATTAATTTAGAAAAATTTTTGTAATAAATCGATTAATAAATTAATTGTTTATACTTTTAATTATATTAATAGAAATATGAATGTGCAAGCTATGCTCACAGTTTCACCTGCATGAAATTAGAGCCTATGTTATTCTGATATATATTATATTATATTACTGTAAAGTTTCATCAAAATCCGTTATCCGGTATCCGATAACAAATGTGCATCCATCCATCTATCCATCCATCCATACTTTTGTGTTTATGGTATTAGTAAGACGTGTTTGAGTATTTGGATATTTGTTATTAAGACTGAATGACTGGATGGATTTATATGAAATTCTAAATGTAGATAGATTATATATTATAGTAGCTGTTATATGGAATTGTCTATACCCAATTTTATGAAAGTGGTATCGGACGAAATACTGCATTTGTTCAAATAAAACCTTCATTTGGGATTGCACCTAGTTACCTTAAGACTGAAAAATACACTGAAAGTCACCTCTGTAATGAAATTCCTATAAGTTATGACAGAGCCTCAAATATTCGCACAAAGTAATCCAGACATATTTATGTGCACGCCATAAAAAGGGTATAATGCTACAAGGGAATTTTATTTAAAACCGCAAGGGAATTTTGTTTCTCTTTTGTATCTATGTCAGATAGTTAAAACTAGTAAATAATATAATAATCTACAAGAACTAGAATCTATGTAATTGCATTGCATTACCTAAGTTTAAAGTTATTTATTAAAAAAATAAGATTATACAAGTTTAACATAAGTTTAATATCAGATAATACTGACTTTTTTGGACTACTCTAATGCTGTTTGCCGCAGCTTCATCGGATGATAGAGGGCGAATGCATATAGCACTTTAAACCAGCGGAATATATTATCGAGCAAGGCTAATTTCCATTTGATGGATATGACTTAGTCTGAGGGCACCGCTAGGGTTTCGAACGTCGGCTCAGGTCGTCGTAATTTCGATCCCTGTTTGAATTGAACAAGGGATCGATCGGAGTGGGTATATATAATGCAGAGTCATATCAGCATTTAACGAATTCAGTATTTCTTGCTATAATACTAAGGCAATATCCAGTTATATTCTAATTATCTATTAAATAATCAGAAATTTTATTTAACACGTGACTATACTGTTAGCATGATAGCTTTAAAATTATTCACAATTATCCACTTCCTTACTTTTTTGCTGGACAATTCACATACCGAATATTGTCTTGCTTTATAATAGCTTGTGTTACGGGTACTAAACAATTGATAGAAATACTTAAATACATTATTTTTATAAATATATGCATTGAAAACACAAAGAATAATTAATACAAATATTTTCATCGTGTGAGAAATCAAACCCACGACCAGAAGTGAGGCGATATACCGCTAGACCGCAGAGGTAGTTACTTTACTTTAATACTTTGGAACAGTACAGTTTCATGAATAATATCATTGGCTGTCGTTAACTTATACTGTTTACGTTTATCTCTATATTATAAAGATTGTCTATAGCCAAGAATAATAACTACATTATTAGACAATTAGCTAGGTATTTTTATTTTTTTTATTGACTGACAAAAAACTTCTAAAAAATAAAAATCCTCTTTCAATGGACAGTCTCTTAATAGATTTCATTTAGCAATCCGAAATCTGGAATTTTCAAGGCCTTTTTACGACTCTTTGTATCTAAATTCTTTTTCATTGACAATTTCAAAGGGTTTAATGTTGCAATACTAATTTAACAGTTCGTAAATTTATAAATGAGTTCCTTTATTGTTACATAAAAATCTATTACTACTAAAATTGATTGAATTCAAATAAATGCTTATTATGAAAGAAATCTAATTACATACAATGTTGATAATGAATGAAGTTTAACCAAACGGTAGGAAAACATAATAAGTATGCGTTTAGTAGAAAACATTATTATTATTGGTACGTAAATAGCATTAAGTAATATTCTATCAAAACTTATTTTTCATGTTACGTGGGAAGCATCCATATATTTTTATGATGAAATAATCATAAAAAAAATATGGACTATTATGGTGGTCTCATCTGCCCTAATGGTGTAAGTTATTAGGACATCAGTGTGGGAAGAAAGGATAAACATAAAATCAGGATACATAGCCTATCCTCAAGAATTAACCACTAAGGTTTTGTAGAAGGAATACTTGGAGTTTGACCGAATATTACCAATATCACTACCACGACAGTTTGTCCACAGGGTAGTCGGAGGGATATATATAATAATAGTATAAAAAATGCAATAGATTACATGATCATAAATCTAATAAGCATATTCACTGAGGTGTGATCTCAGACTACCTATTTCAGCTGCTAGCGACATGCTATGTAAGCTGTGTTTTGATTCAAGGGTGAGATAAGGTTGTGAAATTACAGGATAAGGAGCATAACATCTTAGTTCTCTGGAATGATAATGCATTATATAACTGGAGAGTTAATCTATACGAATACGTTATACGTTATAGGTAAACTGAAAGTATGTTATAAACTAAAAAAATCGTCAAATTGAAAATGACTCCTCACTATGTCTGAGCTACTTCATGTATATAGTTGATGGTTGATACATTCCATCAGGTGGGTCATCAGCTTGTTTGTCATTCGAATTACGTAAAATATTTTTTATGCTTCAGCTAGGACGCCGTTATATACATTGAAACTGGATTACATAGAAAGTATAAAAATGCTTAGCATATATTTTATATATTACAGTACTTTATATCACATCTAGTGATATAATGGTATCAGCAGAATTGCATATAGATTATGAACAATTAGAAGAACACGCTCGGACTATTCCGCCGGAACTGGAGTCATTCCTGAAGGAGAAAACTGAATACGAAATCAAAATGGAGGAATGCATGCAGGAATTCAGGAATTGCCTAAGCATTACTATATCTAGGTAAGTATTAAGATGTCAGTGGTCTAAGGGTATACACTACCTTACTTTCAAATACAGGACAAACAAATATTTATAAATATGTCTATTTTTTATGTAAATGGAATCTCTAATGACCCACCAAGTGGCAAGTCGATACTACTCATGCGTTCCCATTTTTGCGAACTAAGATGTGCATCTGATCTGTAAATTCAACAATTTTATTGCACCCAACAATCGAAATACAGTTTGCGACGCAAGTTGCATGGCGGTATGAAATAGGCTAGACTGAGGATATCCTCAGATTTTGTCTATGTAGATAAAATTAGCGAAGGGTATCTCGGATAATTCTTATATGATATATATATTAGGCGATGGAAATTAGAGAGATGGATATGTGAGAATACTTCTTAATGTCAATTCTATTGTCATAAGGATAGGATCTTACACCCACAGAAAGGCATATTGTCAGCAAGTTACGGGTGGTGTTGCATTTAAAAACATTGAGATATCTACAATAGTCAGTCAAAAACCGGGTACCCAGTTACCTATGCATATATAGATACACCCGTGTGACTCCTAATAAAGGAACGTGGAACTCTTTAAGTGTAAGTCGATGAACTCTATATTGCATATTATAAAGAAATGTTCCTGTAATATTATAATTCGTAATTCAAGGGAAACTCCACTCTGTGCTACAAACGATAAGTATGAAAAGAAAATGTTCCGCAGTTTTTGCGAGATGGAGTACGACAATTGCAAACAAAGTGATAGTAAGTATCTCCCTATCTCTTTATATTTCATATTTTTGACGTTACATAGGTACTCTTGTATTAAACAGGCATTAAAGGCTATGATATTACACACTTTAGAATCAAGTAGGAGACTATTAGGTTTCTATATCCCATCCTAATAAATAAGATTTACATTTCAATCACACATTTTATGTAAATTACAACATATGGTTCTATTAATGAAAAACAGACTTCTTAATATGCTGTTGGAAAAATAAAAATGTGGGGTACACAATTAAAAGGTCTTCGATTTTCTAAATGTGTGGACTGTATTTCAATTTGTTTCTTATTCTATGGGTCGGCCGGCCGGAGTGGGGTTTTCTTGGTCGTTGCGCCGGCGGTGGTTCTTCGTCGGTGGCGTATGCGTAAGAGAGCGCGATCGAGAACCAACCCGCCTTTTACGGGCGCCCGAGCGCGTCCTTCCCCACCCCCGCCGATACCCTCCCGACAATTCCTGCACATGTCGGTGACCGACGGGCCGGAACAGCGAATACGCACACATTTAAAATTAAATACAATAGTAACAACACAAAAAACTACAAAAAACCACGTGCGACTAAATGCCACATGTTCAGGCTACACTAAAGCTGTGATCCCTAAGAATTTACACAATGGGCGGACATAGAATTCACAGTATCTATGCCGCTACAAAGGGTATATGGTACAAACAATAGTCTAACCTAAACAATAGTCAAAACACTGGAAAAATACAAATTTATACACAAATTTATTTACATATTTTCGATGCCGACTCGTGGTCCGCAACAGCCTCCCCCGGCGCAGATCTTCGCAGCCCTTATCCCTAGGGAGGACCACCAGCCTTCGGGTCGGCCTTCGAAAAATTCCCTCGCGTTCGTCCGTCCGTCCGCGTTCACCGCAACGCCACTTGACCCATTTCCCCGCTTCAGCGGGGCGCTCCCGGCCCAGCTTCCATGCCCGTCGCCTGTATTCTTCTGCGAGCAGCAGCACCTGTGCCGGGGTCCTCTTCACTCGGTCATATGAGGAGAACCGCATTCTGTCCATTACGGGCTTTGCCTTCGCCCGGGCACGGGCTACTGTCTCTGCAGGGACGGGCTTGCTTTCCTTGGGTCGTTCTTTCTCTGGAGCGTATACAAGCGCCGGCCCGACGGATCTGTCGGCGGCGGTCCGTATTGTATATCTCGCGCGGGTCGCGTCGTTAGTTACGTCGTGGGCGGTCGGTACCCAGCGCCACTGTGTTGGTTCTGTATGTTCGGCGCTTTCTGCCATCCGGCGGGCCGCGTGTGGATTGTATCGAGCGGT